CCAGAGGACGGGCTGCAGTTACCAGACATGGGAACCAAAAGAACCCAGTGACTCTGCTGTCCAGAGGACGGGCTGCAGTTACCAGACATGGGAACCAAAAGAACCCAGTGACTCTGCTGTCCAGAGGACGGGCTGCAGTTACCAGACATGGGAACCATTACCCAGAGCGGCCACGCTGTGCTCTTTTTCCTCCTTCGTGTTCTGGCTCAGGGCTTTCTGACTGAGTGCCAGGCTTGTCCACCTTTTCTGCATCGAGTCCTCATTCACTGTAATCTCCTGGAATGACAAACTTCTATTGTTCATAAAGTCTCAGCCAGAAGAGCAGAGTTCTCAGGAGGATAGACATCACAGAGAACAAAATGGCAGTGGAAAGAGCCGGGTCGACAATCAAAAAGAACAAAACTGGGCTAAATGGACCCATTACAGCCGGGGGCAGGGACCTAGTTCCAAGGGAAGCACCGGGCAGGAAGTGAGTTCTACCCACTCCCCCACACCCCAGACATGGAATCAAAAGAGAGAGCCACACTCACCCGAGGCCTGACCATCCTAAGCTGAGCAGCCGCTGTGGAGTTTCCCACAGTAGCCTGGGCTCTGGCACTCCCCACTTCAAGACAAGCAGGACCTGGGGTGAAAGGTGAAAGGTCAAGCCCTGCTCTCAGCAACCTAAGGTCCATGTGCCAGGGAAGTGGATTTGTGGGTGTCCAGGAAGCCCCACATACACTGATTCTTAGCTTCTTCCAGAGACCTCAACCCAAGTGTGCTGGGAATGTTCTTCAGAGGGCACAGCCAGGTTCCTTTCAGGCCCCTCTCTCATCTGTCTGAAACTCTGATTATTCTCTCTGCTTCAATTTCCACTCCCAAGATTGATTTACCCTCCTGCTTTAAAAAAAAAATCTTTTTTAATCTATATGTACAGGTGTTTTGTCTGTGCCCCACCTGTGTGCTTGATGTGGAGACCAGAGGTGTTGGATCCCATGGAACAGGAGTTATAGGTGGTGATGATCCACCGTGTATGTGCTGGAGATTGAGGTTGGAAATGCAAGTTTCCAGACAGCCTCTGCCATCTGGAATTATTTCCTTCTCCCCCACTCAATGCTCCTTCTCCTTCCGTCAGTCCTCCTCCCTCCATCAGTGCTCCTCTGCCTCCGTCAATGCTCCTCCTCTCTCCGCCAGTGCTCCTCCTCCCTCCGTCAGTGCTCTTCTCCCTCCATCAGTGCTCCTCTGCCTCCGTCAGTGCTGCTCCTCCCTCTGTCAGTGCTGCTCCTCCCTCCGTCAGTGCTCCTCCTCCCTCCGTCAGTGCTCCTCCTCCCTCCGTCAGTGCTCCTCCTCCCTCCGTCAGTGCTCCTCCTCCCTCCGTCAGTGCTCCTCCTCCCTCCGTCAGTGCTCCTCCTCCCTCCGTCAGTGCTCCATCTACATTCATGGCTTTAACCATGCTTGGAGTCTTCGCTGCCTTCTCAGACCCACCACACAGCCGCATGCTGGACAGGGTTCCTTGAAATAGCAAGTTCAGTTTCTTTCGTTTTCTCTTTTAATAATTTATCTTATGTGCATTGCTGTTTGCCCACATGTATGTCTGTGTGATATTGTCAGAATCCCTAGAACTGGAGCTAAAGACAGGTGCGAGCTGCCGTGGGGATCCTGGGAATTGAACCCAACTCCTCTAGAAGAACAGCCAGTGCTCTTAACCGCTGAGCCATCTCTCCAGCCCCATGTTTTACTTGGTTTTTTAAGACAGAATTTCACTATGTAGCCCTGGTTGGCCTGGAGCTTACCATGCAAACCAGGTTGGCTTCAAACTACAGAGATCTCCCTGCTTCTGCCTCCCAAATGCTGGGATTAAAGGTGTTCACCACTGTACCCATCCCCCATCCTCGCGAGTCCCTCCAGTGCCCACACCTACTCTGCCCCCTAATGCACTTTATCCCATAATCCCCTTTACAATGCCAGTCCCATGCCTGGGAACAGATGCCACCCATGTGTATATTTTGTTTGTGGTAGTCGGTTTTGGGGGTTTTGTTTGACCCAGGGTATTAATCTGAAGTACAGGCTAGCCCAAAACTTACTAAGTAGTCCAGACTGGCCTAAGCGCTTAGAAATTCTCTTGTATGGAATGACAGGCATGATCCACCATGCTCAGCTTTACCCAAATGTATCTTATGAGGTTGCTTCTTTTTACCTATGTGACCAGCTCCCTGCCACCTAGATAAGAACTCTTAAAAATAATCAGAGTATATTGTATGTATCTGGTACCCAGTGGTGTTCCTAATGACATGTTTGAGGAAAACCTAATAAATACATGTGTGATAGGAGAACAGACAAAGGATCAGATAAAGCCACTGAGGAAGGAGGGCAGCTGTCAGGGTAGTGTGGGGGATTCAGTGGGATACAAGTTGAGCTGACGAAAGAAACTGACTCCAGGGGGCAGAAGGAAGAAGGACTTGAGAACAGAACTGGGGGACAAGTACCGCAGCACCCGTGACGGAGTTGGTGGGCTCTTGGGTCACAAGGAGCGTCCAGGTGGGCTTCAGGAGCTGAGCCTTGACTGGAGGCTGAGGTAGGAGATTGTTCTATTCCACCCAGAGGTATCATCTTCTTTAAGTGCACATCCTGCTCTTGTACTGGAGACAGAACCTAGAAATAAGGAAGCAGAACTGGATTCAGAAGTGCATTCTTGAAGGTAGAGAACCCAAGCCTCTAAGATACCCCACACAGGAAAAAAGCCAGAGATATGAAGAGCTAGCTATCTTTCCAGCACTAACAATAAAGTCAGCTGGCTAACCACAAAGCTTGTGATCTTCCCTGCCATCCCTATCCTATCCCTCCTGGCAAGAGCTTAAGAACAGATTCTACAGCCAGTTCCACAGTTGTCAGAGCTGTGGGCACACATTTGTGTAAGATGGTAAGTACTGCTAAGCCTGAGGGTCTGAGAGAAGACCAGTTCCACAGTTGTCCACTAGACAGGCCTTTGTGTGTCTTCATGTGGTGTGCACTGTGTGTGCGGGTACATGTGCACACGTATGCAGAAACTAAATGACGTCAGCTGCCTTTTTTGCTCAAGCACCACCCACTTTTACGTATGTGTGTGCACATATTCATGTATGAGAATTATGAGACGTTGTAAAACCTGCCTTGTAAGAATCATAGAGCTAAGTGGCCCTACTTAGACCTACTTTAGGCTCCCTTGGGCTCATAGACCAGGAAACTAGTGTGGAGGTTTGAAAGAAAATGGCCCTCAAAGTGAGTGGCACTATTAGAAGGTGTAGCTTTGCGGGAGTGGGTGTGGCCTTGTTGGAGGAAGTGTGTCACTGTGGAGGCAGACTTTGAAGTCTCATATATGCTCAGACCACTTCCTGCCGCCTGAGAGAAAGATGTAAGGACCCTCAGTTCCTTCTCCAGCACCATGTCTGCCTGCATGCTGCCTTGCTTTCCACCATGATGACAATAGACTAAACGTCTAAAACTGTAAGCAAGTCACTACAATTAAATATTTTCTTTTATAAGAGTTGACAAGGTCATGGTGTCTCTTCACAGCACTAGAAACCCTAAGACACCTAGCCTGGCCACTGATTTCCAGGTCAGGGAAATCCTGTTTCAAAAGCCAAGGGGCCATACACTTCCATGTTCAGGCAGGAACGCAGGAGCAGCAGATTACATGTGTCTCTAATGGGGTTTACTGCCTGCAAATGGTCAATGTGGTGTCTGAAGGAGAGGAGACCCCTGTATCCAAGATCTGGGTAAAGTACTAGATTGCAGGATTTACTGCCAGTGAATCACAGTTGGGCTACTACAGGATATTAAACTACATCTTCTGCCCCTGCTCACAACTACTGTACTGAAGAGTTTTCACCTGCACTTAAAAGAACCACCTAGGCCTGGGGAGATGGTTCAGTCAACACAGGGCTTTCCATGCACTCATGTCAGCCTAGGCTGGGATTCCCTGAAAACGGGGTATAAAAATCAGGCATGATAGGACATGTTTTAACCCCAGCCCGGGAGAGGCATATACAGTCTCACCCCATAGGCCAGGAACTTAGCCTAACCATTGAGTCCCAGGTCAAGGAGATCCTACCTCAAAAACCAAGGTGAGCAGGGTGGTGGTGGTGCATGCCTTTAATCCCAGCACTCGGGAGGCAGAGGAAGGCGGATCTCTGTGAGTTCCAGGACAGGAACCAAAAGCTTCAGAGAAACCCTGTCTCGAAAAATCAAAAAAAAAAAAAAAAAAAAAAAAAAAACCCAAGGTGACCAGTACTGAGGAACAACACCTAAGGCTACACACACACACACACACACACACACACACCCCTGTACCTCCCCTCCAAATAAACACAGGTATGTATGTACATAACCTCACATGCACCTCTTCTCCATATAAACACACATACACAAACCTGATTCAGAGCTGGGCTGGCATGGTGGTTTGAATAAAAATGGACCACATAGGCTCATTGAAAGCCTAGTCACCAGGGAGTGGCACTATTTGAAAGGATGAGAAGAATTAGGAGGTACCACCTTCTTAGAGAAAGTGTGTCATAGTAAATGGGCTTTGAGATTTCAAAAGACCATGCCAGGCCCTGTCTATGTCTCTCTCTGCTATAGATTCAGATGTTGCCTTGGTCATGGTGTCTCTTCATGGCAATAGAACAGTGTTTAAGACAGAGTTGGTACCAGTGACTTGGGTATTTCTCTGAGAGACCTGACCATGCTGTCTGTGGGAGGAATATGAAGATTTTATGACTCTGAACTAGAAAAGCAGTTGGATGCTTTAATGGAGGCTGATGTGGGATATCCTCCTGTATATGTGCTGCTTTTATTGGCTAATGAATAAAGCTACTTATTATGTTATGGCAGGGCAGAACATAGCCAGGCTGGAGGAGATCTAGAGAGGGAGGAGGTGGAGTCAAGGAGACGCCACGTAGCCTCTGAAGCAGACAGATGTCAGACCCTTTACTGGTAGGCCACAGTCTCGGGCTGATACACAGATTAATAGAAATGGGTTAATTTAAGAGCTATCAGGCCATTGTTGTAATTAACGTAGCTTTTGCGTGATTATTTGGGTCTGGTGGCCAGGAAATGAATGAGCAGTCTCCACTTACACAGGGCTCACTGGGCCATCCTAGTAGGAGCATGGAACAGTGCTGAGGGCAATGTCAACTGCAGGGCCCCACCCAAGAAATTTCAGAGACAAGTGTGTTGCAGCCAGCAAAGCTGAAAGAAGTGGAGATCTGAAGAGTGCTTTGACATTAGACAAGGAGATGCAGAGTCTGGCATCTGCCCAGCTGCTTTTGGTCTTTAGTTCAGTATTCCTCACTATGCTCCCTCCCCCCTTTTGGAATTGACATATGTTGGAAGTGTGATCTGCTTTTTGATATTGATTATACAGGGGGGTTATAGTTAAGAGATTGCCATGAATCTCAGAAGAGATTCTGAACTTTTAACATTGTTGAGACTGTGATAGGCTATGGAGACTTTCAAAGTTGGACTAATGCATTTTGCACTATGATATGGCTACAAGCCCATTGGGGCAGGGAGTGGAACATGGTGGTTTGAGTAAGAATGGCCCCCACAGGTTCATAGATTTTAATGCTTAGTCATCGGAGTGGTACTATTTAAAAGGATTAGAAGGTGTGGCCTTGTTAGAGAAAATACCACCGGGGATGGGCTTTGAGGTTTCCCAGTCTCCCTCTGCCTCTCCAAGCTCAGACTGTAGAGCTCTTAGATACTTCTCCACCATGATATAGGCCTGTGTGCTGCCATGTTCCCTGACATGCTAATGGACAAATCTCTGAAACTACAAGCAAGCTCAAAATTAAATGCCTTTATAAGAATTGCTTTGGTCATGGTGTCTCTTTAATGCAAAAGAACAGCAACTAAGACAGTTGGAATTTATGTTTCCGCTTATGGCCTGCAGCACGGAAGTATTTCCCATTTATCAGTGGCGTGGGGAATGAAGAACACTTCTTCCCAGGCTAGTCCAAGCCTAGAGAATGGTTCTAGAAGCATCTGGAACATCTACAGTAGCACTGGAGACTTGACTGCTTACCTCTTCTGACCCACTAAGGTGTCTCTGAAAATCCTCCACCACAGCCACAGCCTCCTCGCCAGTTTCAGGACGACGGAGCTGCACCCAGGTCTGAAGCTCCCTGGGCAGGATGCTCAGGAACTGCTCCAGCACCAGCAGCTCCAGGATCTGCTCCTTGGTGTGGACCTCTGGCATCAGCCACCAGTGGCAGAGCTCCCTGAGCCGGCTCAGGGCCTCCTGGGGCCCAGACATCTCGTGGTAACACAGCTGCCTGAAGTGCAGCCGGAAGATTTCACAGACAGGGGGGTAGTTCTTCTGGAGACCACAGCTCTGTCCCCAGGTCTGGCTTCCTGGTTCCTGCTTCACAGTCCATCTCCCCTCCTGCTGCTGATGCACAGATGTCCTGGGGATGAGACCTAATGTTCCCCTGCCTTCCATGGTCATTGTGATCCCAAAGAGAAGCTGGTTCCACCTACAGCAGGTACACTGAAATTGAGTCTCTGCTTCAAATGGCAGGAGCTGTTTTTCAGAGTCAAGAAAGGAAGAGCGGAAGTGTTACCTACAGAAACAGAAAGAACAATCATGGTCCTGGAGTACTCAGCTGGTGCGATACTCGGCAGCTAAAAACAAACCTTTAGGGGAAAGAAGAGTACAAACAGAGAAATCACTCCAAGTGACTTCCCTTCTCAAACTTACAGTGGCTCCAGGGTAAAATTAACTGTTCACGCTTAGCCTTGACAGCTTTTCACACACACCTCCAACCAGTCTCCCAAGTACCCAAATTAAAAGAATAGCAACGGCCTCTAATGCAGGGTATGCGAGAAAATAGAACGTTAAAGAAAACACAGAATTACTTAACTTCTATTTCATATGCTCTGTACTGTGTACTGAAACCAAAGAGTATGTATCATTAATTCTTGAATAAACTAGAAAAGATGTACAAGTTTGGGACTAACACGCTACATGATATGAACACACACACACACTTTCCCTGTTTGAACTTTCCCCTCCTTTTTCTGCATTTCTGTCACTTCTTCCGAAGGCAGTTTTCCTGGTTGCCCCGGATGGAAAATGGCAGGCTTGTTTTGCTTGCTGCATCTCATTCTGGAACCATGTACTTGAGCTGGTTTATGCAGAGCTCACTAGTTGTGGTCTCCAAACTGCTCCCAAAAGGGAGGCACTAGACAGAATAAAAACGCTGGAGATCTTTTCTACTTAAGCCTTTCTGGTCTCTCCAGGCATACGAGTGGTATCGCTTCAGTAATCCCACAGACCATTTCCCACCCAAACCTCTTCTGGATCACTTCTCTTACTCCTCCTTCTCTGCGGTGTACACAGACGTGGGCTCCATTTTCTGGGAGGACTCAAACGGCAGGACTGACTTCCAGAAGTGCACGCGTGTATATGTGTCACACAGGGACAGAGATACGGTAAGCCAAGTTTGGGGGGAACCTTTTCCCATTTATGCATGCCATTTGAAAACCAGCTACTCAGGGGTAACTAGGATGTGTGTTGTGGTTCCAGATACCAGGCACTGGAGACCAGGGTTCGACATTTTCCTCGGAGCCTTTTTTGTTTGTTTGTTTGTTTTTGCAAGACAGCGTTTCTGTGTGTAGCCTAGGCTGTCCTGCCTCTTGACTCCCGAGTGCTGGGATTAAAGGAGTTAGCCGCCACTGCCCGGCTAAGCCTGTTTTGTTTTTTAAAGACTAATCTGTGAACTCTCTGAGAGCACGCGCGGGAAACGCAGGACACTCTCCCAGTGTCCTCACTGTCCTGAATGCTCAGCAGGAGACCTCGCCTCGCGTCCGCTGTGCGAGCTCTGGTGGCGCCGCTCACCTGGCGGGTCTGGCCCGCGCAGCACTGACGCACAGGCGCCAACCCGAGCCGACTCCGCCTTGAGCAGGCACCCCGAGACCCGCCGGCGTCGCGCCCCGAGTGCCGGCCGCACCTCCCTCCCCGCCGCGACCTGCATACGTGACGGTTCACCGGGCCCCACACCGCCAGGACCCTAAAAAGGGGCAGCGATGGCGGCAGCGGAAGTGTTAATGGCGTCATTTCCGGTATCTCCTGGATTCCGGAAGTGTCGGTTGCCAAGGTGAACAAGCTGTTGGACGCTAGGACCTTGTCCAGGGCACATCTGCGGTGCAAGCGGGCGTCACGATTGACATCAGGCCATTCAGCATCCAGGGACCTCATACTATGGACACAAAAAGGCCAAATTAAAAAAAAATGCAAAATCCATACAAGACTAAATCCATACTTTCCAACAATCAGACTTTGACATCTCGGAGCCTGACCCGATGGGGCCCTATACAGTTAGAACCCACTTCCTAATTATCCCTGGCGCCTCGCCTCGGACTGCTGTCTCAGGAAGAATAAATGGTGTTACAAAGTTGTCTAATTAGCAAGAGGGCGAACCTCATCTACTATAAAAGGATGGGTCCCTCCCCGGGGCTGCCGTCCTAGAACTCAAACTGTTGCGATTCTATCAACCCCACAGCATACAGTCTTTATTGAAATCCTTTAACTATTATAGCTTGCATAACAGTTTTGCTCCTGTGCTTTGGGTTTATCAAATCCACAGTTACGGGTCCAAATACCGCCATTCGTGGGTTGCTTTTTTTTTGTACTCAAGGTGGGCTGCCTCCTGCTTGCTTTTCTGACTCACAGGTTGGTCATTACACATGATGTAATGCACCAGGTCTTAACTTAGTAGTGTCTATGTTAACAGTCATAGCTCACAGACCCATCAGTTCTGCAGTTTGCATTTTTCAGATGGAAAACCGATTAAGATGGACCGCAGAGCTGTAGAGTGAGTGCATGCCCAACGTGGCAGCATCAGAATCAACTGAGACGCCCTTCTGGGATAGAGTGAATGGCACCTTCAGGCAGAAGCCCAGAGCTACAGGGGGCTTTAAAAAGGTTTTGTATTACCTGCCTGCCTGCCTTCACGCTTACTAGTGAATGACTACTGGCTGCTGGCACTGCTGCCGTTGGCACTTGCCCACATTGGAACACTGTTTTCAGCCTTCCACTAAGGCACTGAAGACCTGAGGCTCTCCAGGAATTTCTCAGGCCTTCATATTTAGACCAGGACTGCAAAGGCATCCAGCAACGTGGAATGAGCAGGTTCTGGGTTTTCCGTTTTACAGCATGCAGGAGTAGCGAACCCAAACAATGCATGTAAATCTAATAAATCCCCTTAGTAATATATATCCCTTCTAGCCATTCTGTCCCTCTAAAGAACCCTGACTAAGATGGTTGCCCATACTGGCCTGAACTCCTGGGCTTGGATGACTTCTCCTGTCTTGGGCTCCAGAGTAGCTGGAACTCTTCAGTGAACAGCACTGAGCTTAGGTACAGTGCACTTGAAAAGTCACGCCTTCCAGCCAGGGGCCCAGAATAGAGTTCTGCGTGATAAGTATATGACCTAAATTACCATGGGAAAGCTTACTCTGTTGTCCCTGCAGTGCAGCCTGAGGAGTCCCCTCACAGTCTCTGCAGGGAATAGCTATATTTAGGGTCAGCCTAAGCAGTCATTGGTGTAATAGTAATTCCTCCTCCTCCTCTTCTTCCAGTTATTTTGAGACAGGATCTCACTGTGTAACTCTGGCCAGCCTGGAACCCACTATGTAGACCAGGCTGGCCTTGGACTCAAACAAAGAGCCTCCTGAGTGCTGAGATTAAAGGTGCGTGTCCCCACACAGACACACTTACCTGCTGAGCCATGCTCTCTTCATCCCTTCATTAGCCACTCTTAACAGTTCTGTCAAAGGTTCTGGGTCTTAGAACTAGGAGAATGAACGAACCCTTTCCCTTCTCATGACTCCTGTAGTGGCATTCCACCTGTATTTTAATAAATAAACCTGCCTGGGAATGAGGAAAGTAAAACATCCACACCGGCCAGCCAGCAATGACATGCACCTTTTATCCCAGAAGCCACAGTAGTTGCAATAGAAACCGGGTAGTGCATGACTTTAATCCCAGTGGTGCACACCTTTAATCTCAGTCCTAGAGAGGAATATAAAATGGGAGGAAACAGCCCTCAGATACAATCTCATTATGAGATTCCTGGAGGCAGGATCGCCATTTTGGACTGAGGTAGAGGTAACAGCCAGTGGCTGGCCGCTTTGCTTTTCGGATCTTCAGACCGAACCCCAATTTTTTTTCTCTGGGTTTTACTAGATCGTGCTTCAGGCTCCTCTACTCACTAATTAATTGTCCTGCCTCATGGCAGCCTTCCAAGTGGCGATTACTATAAGTGAACACCCCTGGACCCAGAATAAACCACTGAAAGACCAGGATAAATCCAGACCCTCTCCCCTAGCAGGAAGAGTAGAGCCAAAAGTCTAGGTTGGTTAGTTCAGTGACTTTATTCCAGGAACTGGCTGGCCACAAAGTTAGATTATAATCTTGAAGAACAATCTTGAGAAACGGGAAGTTACCCCCTTGTGATTATCGCTGGTATTTTCAGAATTTTCCAATGATGCCCTCCCTACCCCCTTTGGGTTGTGGTTTCTTCCCTTAAATAACCCTTCTCTCAGCTACTCGGTGTTGAACTCCTCTACCCGCGCGTGGGATATGAGTCTCAGCCCCAGTGCACTAGTTCCTGTCAATAAACCTCATGTGATTATAGCAAGGACGGTCTCTCATGAGTACTTGGGGGGTCATGTTATCCCGAGACTTGAGTGAGAGTTTCCCAAGTCTGAGGGTATTTCTTTTTTTTTTTTTAAAACATTTATTTATTTATTTGTTATGTATACAGTATTCTGTGTGTATGTCTGCAGACCAGAAGAGGGCACCAGACCTCATTACAGATGGTTGTGAGCCACTATGTGGTTTCTGGGAATTGAACTCAAGACCTTTGGGAAGAGCAGACAATGCTCTTAACCACTGAGCCATCTCTCCAGCCCCCAGTCTGGGGGTATTTCATTTGGGGGCTCGTCCTGGGATTGGCGATCACCCTTGTCTCCCGAGACCCACATGGGGGGTGAGACATCATCTGTGTCTTTGTGTTTCCGTGCCAGCTGAATTCAGGTTCTGTACTTTCGGTTTTGCAGTCGCTTGCGTCTCAGGAGGAGAAGGAGGGAGTGATCGGCAGACTGCTAGGAGATCACTGACTGCCGCCCTGGGAGACATCAAGGGAGGTGAGAAGGGACCCCAGGGATGCCTGAGAAATTCCCGTCTGGGTGCTGGCGAGGATACGAAAGTTCTCCTGGATCGGAGGAACTATACGCCCTCTCGGCTGTCTGTATTTCTGGAGTGGTTTTGTCTGTCTAGGTTTTGTTAGCCTTTGTTTGTGTGTCTCCTTCAGTCTTTGTTTTGTCTTACTTGTGACTTTGACGATGGGACAGACTATGACGACCCCTCTGAGTTTGACTCTGGATCATTGGACTGAAGTTAAGGCCAGAGCACACAACTTGTCAATTGAGACTAAGAAAGGGCCATGGGAGACTTTTTGTTCCCTGGAGTAGGAGTACCACACTTGATGTTGGCTGGCCTACAGAGGGTACCTTTGATTTAATCAATATTTTTGAAATTAAAGCTATTGTTTTTCAGGAAGGACCAAGATCCCATCCTGATCAACAACCATACATTACTGTATGGCAAGATTTGGTCCAGGATCCCCCACCTTGAGTTAAGCCCTAGGGGTGTAGACGGAAGCTGGGCTCCAGAGCCCTGGCTCTCCGAGAGTCAGAGCACAAACGAAACCTGTAGCTTAGAGGCCTGAGAATTTGCCCAAGAACCAACCTTCGGCACCTCCTAAAATCTATTCCAAGACTGAGGAGCCACCTGAATGGCTGAGCCCTCAACCACCCCCCCAGATGCCTGATCCTGGTGCTAGTGGTGGTGCGTGGGGGGGGGACTGTGATGGGCACACGAAGTCTGCGTGCTCAGAGTCCTGCACAGGGTCCCGGAGGACCGGGAGGACCGGGAGGACCGGGAGGACCGGGAGGACCGGGAGGACCGGGAGGACCGGGAGGACCGGGAGGACCGGGAGGACCAGATTAAACAGTGGCATTGCTGCTGCACGTCTATGGGCCTCCAGTGGACACACCCCACCTCCAACTCCTCTAGTGTTGGAACTTTTCCTCTCCTGATCTTTACAGAGAATCCCACCAGCCTGACAGGATTGGAGGAGTCTTTGATGTTTCCCCACCAACCCACCCGGGATGACTGTCGGCAGCTTTTACAGGTCCTCTTCTGTAACATGAGGGCCGGGCTCGTTGGGGTTTCAGTCCTGCCCAGTTCCCACAGCTGGCAAGTCCCAAAGAATATCACACAGAGGTCTCCAGAAGATTATAAACTGATTGGCCCATTAGCTCAGGCTTTGTATTAGCTCTTATAACTTATATTAACCCATTATTCTTAACTATGTTAGCCACATGACTTGGTACCTTTTTCAGTGGGGCAGGTCACATCCTGCTTCTTCAGTGAGCTGGGAAGGACTGGGGAAGAGCTTCCTTCTTCCCAGAGTACTTCTGTTCTCATTGCCCCACCTCTACTTCCTGTCTGGTTGTCCCACCTATACTTCCTGCCTGGCCAATCAGCGTTTATTTAAAACATGATTAACAGAATACAGACAATTCTCCCACACCACTCTTCACTTCTGAAGAGAAAGAGAGGATCCTGTTGGAGGCCTTGAAAAACGTACCCAGAGCAAATGGGGCACCAACCAATCTTCCAAATGAAACAGATGTGGGGATTCCCCTTAACCGACCTGGTTGCGACTTCAATATGGCAGCAGGTAGGGTGCTGCTCACGGTCTATTTTCTTTTGTTGACCACGCTCCCCCTGCTGTCCTCAATCCCACTACCCTACTGCCCGAGGCTGATTGACACCTCATCTACCCATCACTGCACTGACATTCTGGCAGAAGAAGCTGGTACCTGAAATGATCTGAAGGATCAGCCTTGGCCTGGGAGTCCGAGCTGGTATACTGACGGCAGCAGTTTCGTGGTTGAAGGTAAGCGGAAGGCGGGGGCAGCAGTGGTGGATGAGAAGCAAGTGAACTGGGCCAGTAGCCTCCCTTAAGGGACATCGGCCCTGAAAACCAAACTTGTGGCTTTGATACCAGCTCTACGGATGGCAGAGGGGAAGTCTATCAACATCTACACTGACAGCAGGTGTACATCTGCCACTGCCCATATACACGGGGCAATATACAGACAGAGAGGACTGTTAACATCTGCAGGAAAAGACATAAAAAATAAGAAATTTTGAGCCTCCTCGAGGCCATACATTTGCCAAGGAAGGTAGCCATCATACATTGTCCGGGACACCAAAAAGCCCGAGATGCTGTGGCTAAAGGAAATCAGATGGCAGACCTAACCATGAAACAGGCAGCCCAAGGAGCAATAATCCTGGCAGTCAAAGAGCCTAAAGATTATCATGATATCGGTGAAACCAACGTTAGATACACCCCCAGGACCATCAAGTTATGGGGAAATGAGGACCGGTAAAGGAAACCCATACGGGGCAGTAGAGACAGAAGGAGGAAAGCTAGTCCTCCCACGAAAGAACAACACAAGTATGTTACCAACTTACATTACCTGACCCCCTTGGGGACCAAGAAACTAAAGATGTGGTTAGGTCCTCCGACTAATATGTTATGGGACTCTCTGACTTGGCAAAAGAAGTAGTTAAAGCTGCAAGGCCTGTGCTATGACTAATGCAGGACACTCCATATATACTCCTGGGAAGAGGCTCAGGGGCGACCAACCTGGGGCCTACTGGGAAGTAGATTTTACAGAAATTAAGTCAGCCAGGTATGGTAACAACTACTTATTAGTTTTTATAGATACTTTTTCAGGCTGGGCAGAAAGCTTTTCCTACCAGGACTGAGATGGCCAATGTGTAGCTAAGAAGATCATAGAAGAAATTTTTAAGAGGTTTGGGATACCCAAGGTAATCGGGTCTGATAATGAACCTGCCTTTTGTTGCCCAGGTGTTGAAATAAGAGCAGCGGCGGGGCTGCGTCCCCAACACCCCGGCCGCTTGGCTAGCTTATGCCCGAAATAACAACACACAAACTGTATTCATTTAAAGAACTGCTTGGCCCATGAACTCTAGCCCTTACAGGCTAATTCTCGCACCTGGTCTAGCCCATTTCTAATGATGTGTGTAAGCACCCCAAGGTGCGCTTACCGGAAAGATTCTAGCCTAAGTCCATCGTGGGTTGCAGCTGCCTGGGAGAGCTGAGCATGGTGTCTCTGCTCCAGCAGAGCTGTCGGGTCTCTC